CCGTAGTCAATTCAGTGTATAAATAATGGACTAACAATTGGTATGAAAAACGTCAGTCAGCATTTCATTCAATGATAAATTGTATTTGCTGACAAGGTCATTGTATCGACCATAGAATTTACGAAAAGATGACTTTAAACGAGACTGTTGATATTCTTGTTTCATCAACTTGCTTGTCAATAATTTAATTTGTATAGTTCTTGAAAGCTTTCCTTTTTAAATTCAGATATATCTGTTTTCGAAAGTTGAGCATCAGTAAAGAGACAAAATTTGTCTGAATGGGCAACTGGTGCATTAAAATTGGTACCGTAAAAGATTGCTATTAATTTTGAAAACCAATAAAGCATTGCACTGTCATTTCAGAGTATTAACTGAAAGGAATCAAAGAATGGCTTCTGGACCAGACCCTGGCGGCCGTTCCAGGTTTGCTAAACTCGGAATGGCAATTAATGAAGAAATGACCCAGGCCTGTAGAGATGTCTTAGAAATGGAAGTACCTCCTGGGCTTGTCTACAATAAAGTGAAGTTATCATCGATTTATAAAAACATACGTCCTGAGCAAGAACATCGTCTTATAGGCGCCAAAACTGATGGTTATAAAGAATTTGATATTACGTTATTATATACACTGATAAGAAACATATGTACAAAGATTCCTTGTCCAACAAAAGCTTGGGGTGGAAGCACGATGCCGTCAGTAGGAGAAACAACGATCGGCGATGACATTGAGAGGATACGATTGATAAGAAACAGCATGTTTGGACACATAAGCTCGGCTTCTACCTCACAGTCAGATTTTGATGACACGTGGTCAATCATAACTGATATCTGCCAAAGACTGCAAACGTACACAAAGAAAGACTACATGTCTGGACTGAGTAATATTCAGAGTCAAGCCCTAGAGGAGGAATACGAAGCAACAGTCATAGAAAAACTTAGGGAAGATCATAAGAATAACCAGTCCCTAATGGCGAAGCTCTCTTCTTTGGAACAGGATTTGCAAGAATTGAAAACAAAGTCAGAAAATGAAGGTAACTATAATAAATACTGTTATCATAGTATTTACTACAAACGATATGTGTTTCATGCTTATATAAATTTGATAAATACATTTCTCAGTATAATTATTGTCGAATATATTTCCTAAAGATGCTTTGCAAAATGAAAGAAATATTGGCTTGGCATGGGTTTTCTCCATTATGATCTTCATTGTGCCGTACTAGACGTCAGAAATATTTTTCAAACTGTTCAAACTAAAATGATGTTTATTTTTCATTATTGCCTGGGATATCATCAGGGAAAGAGTGTAAATATACGATATGTTTTTAATCTTCGAAAGAATCTTGAGGTACATTTTCCTCATGTTAGACTTACTTATCAATCTATGGAGATCCAGAGTTCACAATTTCAAATAAAAGATAATAGTCCTTATTTCCGAATAGCTGCTTTTTTGTCCATGTGATACACTTCCATTACCAGAAGATATCGAAAAAAAACTTTGAGAGCTTGCAATGAAATTTCATATTATTTTGTACTCATTTGATCATTACATCACATTCATATATTTCTTTATTATTATTATTTTGTGACAAAAAAGTTCTTTCAATTTATATATTTTTATTTGTGCTTCAGCAAATATATACATAATTTCAGCAAAATTTTCAGTAAAAACATTTGTTTCTACTTACACATACGTTATATAACATACTTGTGTTGTAAATACATATCACATTTACAATTAAAATTTTAACATATATTTGAAGACTATATTGAAAGAAAGTAACATATTTAAATTGGAACTCATAACGTTTTACAAAATAATTGAATTTAAATATAACAATTTCCCATTTTCTCCATTTGACACTTCAGCTATTGAAAAAGACATGTCTATTACAGAAAACACACTGGTAAATGAAAATCTCGATAATTGGCGAGGAGACGACATTGACTTCATTCCTACAAGAGCAAGCGAAGCAGTGGAAGAAAAGCTCAGAAGTCTTAACCTGACAACAGTGGTAGGAAATTCTGGTTCCGGAAAATCTGCAATAATTCAACATATTGCACTTAAGTATAAAGGGCTGGGATGGAATGTCTTTCCAGTGGATAAGGTGGATGAAATTAAAAAGAACTGCTCAACTGGAGTCTCAGAAAATCGAATATTATTTGTATTCAATGATCCTTTAGGTAAGGAATCGTTAGATGAAATTTTATATCATTCATGGAAAATTTTAGAGAAAACTCTGGAGATATGCTTGAAAAAAAACAAACTACTGATATCATGTAGAAGATGTGTATTTTATGACAAAAGGGTCAAGGGTAACTTATTGGATGAATCCACTGCAGTAGAAATTGACGGAGAAGAACATGATCTGACTGTAAAAGAGAAAAGACTGATTTTTAATCAATATTCAAAAAACCTGGAAATATCCGAAAACATTGCTACGGAAATAATTAAAACAGAAGCTTACTTCCCATTGCTTTGTAAACTGTTTTCAAAGAAGGTAAACTACAAAGAAAAGGGGGTTGATTTCTTTAAGAATTCTTACACATTTATTAAAAAGGAAATTGAAGTTTGGAAAAAAACAGACCAGAAAAGATATTGTTCACTTATCTTGATAGTAGCTTTTAAAAACAATTTGAAAATCGATGCTATTGTTAAAAACAATATATCTTTGATAAAATTTAAGGAAACTTTAGGAATGTGTGAGTTACCTGAAAACACACATATTTCAGTCATTCGTAGTACTCTTCATGAACTGAAAGGATCCTATGTCAAACGTGTTGGAAATGCTTTCCAATTCCTTCACGACTTTATTATGGAGATAACGACTCTGGTGTTTGGTATCAATTGTCCACAAGAGACAATACAGTACGCAGACAGTGGTTTTCTGAGACGTCGAATGAAGATAGAGGACGACATAGGAGAGGAAGATCGCGATCCCTTCACTATTTATCTGCCTGGAGAGTACATTGATGATCTTGTGGACAGGTTTATCATTGACATGCAAACAGAACACATTGTAGATGTTCTACTCAATCCATGTTTACGCAATGAAAGTGCAATCAAATCTTTTAAGGGAAAAATTGAATCACCAGGAAAGCTTCTTGTGAGAATTCAATGTGATTTAGACAGGTCGGATTTTCCAAAAGCATTTAAGGGCACTGGAACTTTCTTCTCAAGACTTAACTTTATTTATGTGGAAGGTGAAATATGTCCTTTGGTCGGACTTATCGTATTTTGTCACACTGATATTTCTTCCTTTCTCTTAAAAAGTATCCCTGAAACGAAGTTAAGGGAGTATCCTATATTCTCTGCTATATGTGCTAATGGCGATTTAAAACTACTTAATTCTCTTAGCAATGATTATAAAAAATCAGGTATACTAGAAAAATGGAATGGGTTTTTTCCAATTCACATTGCTTGTTTATTTCATAACTTTTCAATAATTCAAGAATTAGTTAACCTCGGCAGTGATGTAAACATGCTTCTCGGTGATGAAATGATCAGTCCATTGTTTTTAGCTGTTGTAAATGATGAGGGACATTTGAAAGAAGCTGGAATGGATACCAATGCCGGACAAAAACGCAATGAAACTATCATCTGCTTATTAAACAATGGTGCTGACATCAATGCATGTGATAACGATGGAAACAGTCCTCTTTCAATAGCCTGTGCTTTTGGACATGATTGCACGGTACAACTGTTACTGAATAACGGTGCGGACATCGATTTATGTGATAACGATGGATTCAGTCCTCTTTATATAGCTTGTCAAAATGGACATGATAGCACGGTACAACTGTTACTGAACAACGGTGCCAACATCAATTTATGTAATATTAATGGAGCCAGTCCTCTTTATATAGCTTGTCAAAATGGACATGATAGCACGGTACAACTGTTACTGAACAACGGTGCAGACATCAATTTATGTATGAAGAATGGAGTCAGTCCTCTTTATATAGCTTGTCAAAATGGACATGATAGCACGGTACAACTGTTACTGAACAACGGTACCGACATCAATTTATGTGATAACGATGGATTCAGTCCTCTTTATATAGCTTGTCAAAATGGACATGATAGCACGGTACAACTGTTACTGAACAACGGTGCCGACATCAATTTATGTGATAATGATGGATTCAGTCCTCTTTATATAGCTTGTCATATTGGACATGATAGCACGGTACAACTGTTACTGAACAACGGTGCCAACATCAATTTATGTAATATTAATGGAGCCAGTCCTCTTTATATAGCTTGTCAAAATGGACATGATAACACGATACAAATGTTAATAAATAACGGTGCCGACATCAATTTATGTGATAATGATGGATACAATCCTCTTTATATAGCTTGCCACAATGGACATGATAGCACGGTACAACTGTTATTGAACAACGGCGCCGACATCAATTTATGTGAAAATAATGGAGCCAGTCCTGTTTATATAGCTTGTCAAAATGGACATGATAGCACGGTACAACTGCTACTGAACAACGGCGCCGACATCAATTTATGTGATAATGATGGAGACAGTCCTCTTTATATAGCTTGTTATAGGGGACGTGATAGCACAGTACAACTGTTACTGAACAACGGTGCCGACATCAATTTATGTAACAAGAATGGAGCCTGTCCTCTTCTTATATCTTGTAACAATGAACAAAATAGCATTGTACAGTTGTTATTAAACAATGGTGCAAACGTCAACTTAGGTAATATCAATGGAATATGTCCCTTAAATTTTGCTTCATATGAAGGACATGAGACATCAGTACAACTGTTACTGGACAATGGCGCCGACATTAATTTATGTGATAAGAATGGAGCCAGTCCTCTTTATATAGCTTGTCAAAATGGACATAATAGCACGGTACAACTGTTACTGGACAACGGTGCCGACATCAATTTATGTAAAAAGAATGGAGCCAGTCCTCTTTATATAGCTTGTCAAAATGGACATGATAGCACGGTACAACTGTTACTGAACAACGGTGCCGACATAAATTTATGTAGAAAGAATGGAGCCAGTCCTCTTTTAACAGCTTGTTTTCATGGACATGATGGAACCGTACAAATGTTATTGAACAACTGTGCCGACATCAATTTATGTGAAAATAATGGAGCCAGTCCTCTTTGTATAGCTTGTCAAAATGGACATGATAGCACAGTACAACTATTACTGAACAACAGTGCCGACATCAGTTTATGTAACAAGAATGGAGAAAGTCCTTTTTATTTAGCTTGTCAACATGGACATGATAGCACGGTACAAATGTTACTGAACAACGGTGCCAACATCAATTTACGTAACAAGAATGGAGAGAGTCCTCTTTATATATCTTGTTATAAAGGATATGATAGCACCGTACAATTGTTACTAAACAACAGTGGCGACATCAATTTATGTGATAATGATGGATTCAGTCCTCTTTATATAGCTTGTCAAAATGGGCATGATAGCACAGTACAACTGTTACTGAACAACGGTGCTGACATCAATTTATGTGAAAATAATGGAGCCAGTCCTCTTTATATAGCTTGTCAATATGGACATGATAGCACAGTACAACTATTACTGAACAACAGTGCCGACATCAATTTATGTTAGGGTGATGGATTCAGTCCTCTTTATATAGCTTGTATATATGGACATGATAGCACGGTACAACTATTACTGGACAATGGTGGCGACATCAATTTATGTGATAATGATGGAGACAGTCCTCTTTATATAGCTTGTCAAAATGGACATGATAGCACGGTACAACTGTTACTGAACAACGATGCCGACATCATTTTATGTAATAATAATGGAACCAGTCCTCTTTATATAGCTTGTCAAAATGGACATGAGAGCACGGTACAACTGTTACTGAACAACGATGCCAACATCAATTTATGTAATGATATTGGAACCAGTCCTCTTTATATAGCTTGTCAAAATGGACATGATAGCACGGTAAAACTGTTACTGAACAACGGTGCCGACATCGATTCATGTACAAGAATGGAGCCAGTCCTCTTTATATAGCTTGTCAAAATGGACTAAATAGCAAGGTACAACTGTTACTGAACAACGGTGCCGACATCAATTTAAGTGATAATGAAGGAGCCAGTCCTCTTTATATAGCTTGTCAAAATGGACACGAAAGCATGGTACAACTGTTACTGAACAACGGTTCTGACATCAATTTATGTAACAAGAATGGAGTCAGTCCTCTTTATATAGCTTGTTATAATGGACATGATAGCACGGTACAACTGTTACTGAACAATGGTGCCGACATCAATTTATGTGACAAGAATGGAGCCAGTCCTCTTTATACAGCTTGTCAAAATGGACATGATAGCACGGTACAACTGTTACTGAACAACGGTGCCGACATCAATTTATGTGATAAAGATGGAAACAGTTCTCTGTGGATAGCTTGTTCAAACTCACATTGCAGCACAATCGAACTTCTATTAAATTCAGGTGCTGATGTGAATTTATGCAATAAGGGCAACTGTAGTCCGTTGTTCCTAGCATGTTTCAATGGAAATGAAGGCATGGTTAAACTGTTATTGAACAATGGGGCAGACATCAATTTATGTGACAACGAAGGAACCAGTCCACTCTTCATAGCCTGTGAAAATGGACATTACAGCATAGTCCAAGTATTATTACAAAACGATGCTTGTGTTAATTTATGCAATAAAGACAATAAGAGTCCACTGTATATAACATACTTATATGGTCATGACATTATCGCTGAACTTTTACTACAATATGGTGCTGAGTTTTTATTCTGAAGATGGATTCAATGATTTCTCAACTCAAGTGCGTTTACATTATTTCTGAGATATGGAGCAAAGCAAATTTAAGCTTTGATTAGACCTTGCAAAAGTGATGGAGTGCTTGGAATTTGTGTTTTATGTTTAGTTTACAGATATTTATTGCTTTTGAAATTTGTGTGGATTTTTTTTCTTTTAAATTTAGTAATTACTGCAGTACTGTTAATTGCCAAATTTTCTGTGACAATTGATTTTTTTGAGATGGATGCTGCGTATGTAAAAGCGAGATGGAGATATTGCACTTAAAAGGAATTTTTTTCTCTAGAGTTTTTTTATTGTTGATATTTAATAGTAATACTTTTATACCCAAGAATTATTTTTTTTTGTAAGAAAATACAAAAAAAGTTCTTTTGAATAAAAAGTTTACATGTTCACAGACATTTATTAAGCTTACTTATTTTCTATGTCATATGGCTTTCTTTATTATATTGTACTACTGCTATTTAAAAGTTTAAGCTATAAAAAAAAACAGTCTAATAAAGCGTCTTGTTTCAAGAGAGCAAGGTCTTGCGGCTACATAAATCTTTTTGTTCTTGTAAGCAGCAAGGGAGCAGTCGTTATTTGATATAAAGCTAAGCCATGGCACTGTGTTTTTTTGATATTTAAATTTATTTAACAAGTGTAAGACGAGTAATGATTATTTATTTAGGTGTAATTAAGGGCTTTATTTAAATAAATCTACATATACTACATATAGTTATATTCTGTTGATAAATCGAAATTCGTTTGGAACAATTTTTTTTAATTGTATAAAGATTATATGTTCGGGGTGGATGGAGGGGGTTATATATTAAACATCCCTTAACTCTTTACCCCTTATTGCCACGATTTGACGCACTGGCCATATCCCTAGAAAGTTTGCATGACTGCCCCTTAGAGCGTTTTAGTAGAATTTGAGTGCAGTTTAAAACCGAACTTTTTAGGGTCAAAATAAATTATTTATGCTACGTATTATAAATCATTAATTTCGTAATAAATTAAAGTTTTCATATCTATTTGCAGAATTTTGATCGGAGTTATCTTCAAATAAATAATTCAGGTGAAAGCAGGTGTAAATCATAAAATAGATATTTTTAACATGTAAAACGGCTTTAATAAGCCAAAACTGTCTGAATAAATAAAAACATTCGTATGTTTATATATTTGATGCTTATATTATCATTTATTTTAAATTTTTTAAGTTTAATTCCTCAGAAATCAATAAATTCCAGTGCTACCTCAATGTCAATCTCGCCGACAAATTTTTAAACTTGAGTTTTAAAACTTTATTTCTGGACGTTTGTCGACACTTAAATTGTCCAATTTTATTAAAATAATTATTTCCTACACCTTAACATTCATAAATATGTGTAAAATGGAAGGTATATTCTAAATTTGTGAGAAATAGGTGACAAAATCGGCATTTTGCGGTCCTGAACTTCACGATTATTTTCACAAAATAATTAATTATTTATATCCCTCAAAAAGAAAATTATTGATGTGTTGGATATCAGAATAATTGTCTCATAATGCACAATCTTAATCCGCCAATAGCTTTTTTGATACTTTTATTTTGTTTTTGTTTGACAAAAAAAAAAACGGTTTTCTCACAAAGAGAAAATGTTTATTCAAACAGCCGCAGAGTGGACACGGTTGCTCTCTGTCAGAAAATAAACAAATTATAGTGGTCAGTGAAAAAGACAATAGGTGTCATTACTGTGTACCCTATGTCCCTTGTAAACAATCAATGGCTTTGAAGTTCTTTCATAATCGTGTTAGGGTTTTGAATACCGAATTTTTTATATCAAAACAAAGTAAAAATATGAATTTGCAATTGACAAATTAATATTGTGCATAATCTGACGATTATTTTGATATCCATCATGAACGTAAAATTATTGGAATTTGTTTTCATATGCTTAAAAAATACTTTGTAGCATATTTCAGGAGAAATGCTTTTCACATAAAAATAAAACTAAAACAAAATCAATTGGGGGTGGGGGGGTGGGGGTGGGGGGTGTATATTTAATCACTTTGTTGTCGTGTTAGTTACAAAATAAATAAACGAATTTTTATTTATTTTGTTTATCTATGTATTTGTATATAAATTGATAAATAAATAAGATAAATAATTAGTTCATTTATTAATTTTGTATTTTTAAAGTCAATTTTTTATTTAATTTTCACTTACCACCTAACCTTATTTATTTTGTGCCGAGTTTACTATGCAGCTCTGTATTTGTCAAGAAATAAATTGATTTGTTTTCAAAATGATTAATTTTCTTTAATTAATTTCCTTTATTTTTTCAAGGAAACTATATCAATTTTAAAAACTGCAATTTTCCAAAATTCAGTATTACCTTGGCCGTGTTTTTTTTTTTTTGTTAGTTCAAAGTCACTCCAAGTATTTTATGCATTGAATAGGTGTTTGCAAAATAAATAAATTAAGTAATAAATCAAACCAAAGAATAATTAAGTAATTTATTTTAAAAATTGATAGAACAATATTCTTTGAAGCAGCAATTCATTAATATTTCATAGTTATTTCAGAGTTATAAAAAGAACACAATTAGTCTCTTAACACTTAAAAAAAACTACCATGTGTTTAAATTATGTTCAAAAATTTCTTAGGTAAGTAACTCTGTGTACTAAATTGACAATCCCACATCTTATGTAACCGTACAGTGCTCTGGGAGTGTATAAACTTCTTTAGCTTCAATGAACATATACAGAGGCGTACTGGGGCATATACTGTGGTTTACCGTAGTTGCCTGTAGGAAACAATAGCCATACAGTGGCATACTGTAGGCGTATCGGGGCCAAAATACAAAATATGTATTATTAGTCAAGTGGAAAAAAATATATACTATTTAATTGGAATCACAAAATACATTGTTATTTCAGGGACAGGGAGTAGGTAGGGAGATTGGAATCCCCCCTCTGGAATTTGCTTTGTTATTTAAACAAGACTATATACTGAAGCAAATAAAAAATGACTTTGGACATCCCCCCCCCCCTAACTTAGAAAACATTGACCACACTATCATTATTTTTATTTTATTTATTTGTTTTCAGTTTTTTTCTCCTGCTTGTCAGGAAATTCTGGGCTGGAATTTTTGGACCGAGATGTGAACCCCCTCCCTACTCCCGAAAAAAAATTCTGGATCCGCACCAGTATTGGCAGTAACTATACATCGACAACGGGAGAAAACTTCACAATATATGAAATTCGTCTCGTGTGGCATGCGATGATCTTTGACCCTTTTTAAACTTTAACCTCATCGTTTGGTTTTATTTTACCCCCAATTATACTTAAACTTGTACTTACCAACTGCCATAGGTCTTGTCAACTTCATGAAATATAAATCCAATTATAAAACAAAATGAATTAATCCAATGCACACCAGACTGCAGCCATGTGCCATTTTGGCGAACCTTCGTCGATTCCATCACCTTATCAGATGAAGTGGGTATCGGCTGAGGTGTGCCAAATGGTGTTTAATCTATAAATATGATAATTGGTGACGCAACGTGATGTGATGTAGAAATTTACATGTTCACATGTATAGTACAAGAACAAATTTTAAATTAATTCATAACAAACGATATTAAATTTTAACAAACCTTTTCCATCTAGACTATTCCCAAAAGTATGTGCTGTGTGATTGTGGTGTCGAGGGGGGGGGGGGGGGTAGTACATTTAGAAAGGTCCTATTATGCATAGGCGCTCCCCATGTAATTCTGTAAATGACGTATGATAAGTATATATAGGTCTACCCCTCTATAGTATAAAATATTTTATACTATAGAGGGGTAGACCTATATAAACTTATCATACGTCATTTACAGAATAACATGGGGAGCGCCTATGCTATTATGAGCAAAACATATATCAAAATCTAATTTCAGACGCGGATCCAGAAATGTTTTTCCTGGAGGGGGGGGGGGGGGTCCACCTCACTCAAAAAAAAAATCCTATCCCAGAAATTGATAATCAAAAAAAAAAAAGGTAAAGTAAATCTCACCAAAACGTCAAAAACCTATATCGTGGAGGTGGGGTAGGGGTAGTTGTGACTTCTATTTCCGCAAATGTTTAACTTTTCATACCTATTTTACACATATTCCTGTTTACCAGGGGGGGGGGGGATCTGCATTTTCCAAGGGGGGTCCATTGTGACTTTTTCCTTGTTTTAGTATATACATTTTTTACCTTGTAAATTCCAGGAATTTACATCATTAATAAAATTCAGACTGGTATATAATGAATAAGCATGTATAAAATAAATATAAGAGGTTCTGAGTTATAGGTCACTGGGTCTGAGAATTTCATACTCAATTTGATGAATACATGTAAATTATAGAATTATTTTGACTATTTCTGTGGAAAGCCGCCCAATATGTAGGATCGTGTATTTAGAGGCAAACACATTAGTGCGGGTATTACTGTCTCATGACAGCATCTAGTTTTTATTCAAATTACCTAAAATTATGCATCAACATTATAGCACGAGTTACAATTGAATTCAAACTTTTGAAATTATGCAATAAATGTGGCATAACTTATTGTGAAACATGCAAATTTTGTTTTCTTAAATACTGTATATAGTGTATGTAACGATATTTTCAAGGTGGTATTTTATGCAGTTTTATATTATGTGTTTATGTGTCATTAAATATAATCTATCATTAAATTAAATGACTCACATTTTTTTCTTACTGATTGCTAGACCATCATTTATACACTGCAATGTCGACGGATTCTTCCTTTTTTTCCTGAACATTACAATAAGCACACGCCTGGTGTGACCAGTTGGCAGGGAATTTTTATTATTCCATGTCACCTGATCCAACTCCTTGTATTTTGGAGGTCAGCGTTTCTTCTGTTACTATTTTCTAACTTTTAATGGACTTTTAAGCTCGAATATTGTTTGTTATCCCCACATGTTTCAATCAATTGACTAATTGCACAACCGTTATAAGCATAGACAGCATGAACATCAATTTAATTAAAATCAGACTTCTTAGATCCGCGCAGATTATATGCGGCGCGGATCTAAGAAGTCTAATTTAAATTATATAAAATTATTTTATCTCAAATTGCCGCGGATTTAATAAAATATACTGCCAAGGCTCGGAGATAAAAATCACACAACTCGTTGGATAAAAATCATATCCAACTACAAATCATGGGAGATCCTTTTTATCCCATGTTTGATGCTTCACAACCGATGTTATCCACTGTTGTTTTTAGCACTCCACTTATTTTACTTCATCACGGTAACGCAAAACCATTGTGTCGTCATTTCTGCACTTAAGTGTGGGATATTAAAAAATATCCAATTGGTCATATCCACAGAATAGAGGGGTAAACATGAAATAAATAAAAGTATTCAATCGCAAAGTGCCCTGTGGGAATTCGGGTTAGAATATGTCATCAGTACCCCCTTGCTTGACGTAAAAGGCGACTAAATGGGGCAGTTCTTGGATGAGACAGTATAAACCAGCCGAGCATTGGCATAAATTTGCATCCCTTCACCTGCAATGGTAACGTCTCCATATCAGTGAAATATTCTTGAGAGGGACGTTAAACAGTAAACAATCAATCAATCTCAAAGTCCATTAAACAATACAAAATAGGAGCAGAGCATACACAGACCTCCAAAACATCAGAGACGG